ATAGATATTGTGAAATAGGAAGAAAATGTTCAAATAGCAAGGGAAACTAGGGAAGGGGAGAAGGAAGAAAGGAAAAAAAGAAAAAAAGAAAAGGGAAAATGGAAGGAAAACTTTTGTAAATGAGGGGTTGAGGGGTTGAAGGGAGGGGAGGGTAAGGGAAAAAATAATCATGGTGTATCATGTACAGGTACAAATTCTATATGATGAAAGTTTTCATTATTCACATCTAAAATGTACCAATAAAATTAATTAAAAATAGAACAGATATTAACTTCAAGAACAGAGTTGTACACAGGCTGGTGTTAATGAAAGTTTATGAAAGAATGTGCCAGGCAATCACTTGGATATCAAAGGACGGGAAGTGGGTGGTACATCTTGAGCAACTAAGATACTGGGAGCTGATGGACTATGTTTTCTTCTCTGTCTCATGCTCACCAATGCACACTGATCCTAATTCTTCTGTCTTTTAACTAGAGACCCTCTCATGCAGGTGGGTCCAGTGTGCAGCCCAGATTTGATGTCTCATCAAGAAGTAGTAATAAATTCAGATGGTTGAAGTCATGTGGGTATATAAAACTACACACCTCTCAAAGGTGCTAAGTATCATGGTCAGAATCCTAATTCATATCTACTCATTTGAAAGTTTATATTCTTTCACTCCTGGACAAAATGGGAATAGAGCAGACCAGACTTTACACATTAAGTCACCTGCCTATGTTGGTGGGTACATCTTATGAGGTCTAAGAAAAACACTATAACTGGCAAGAAGTTCAGATATCATTCCATTCCAGTTTTTCATTTTGTAGGCAAAGGATGTGACAGAGGAAGATGGTTAATATTTACTAAAAAGATACTGAAGCTGGTTTTGGTGGCTCACTCATATTTTCTCAGATATCCAGGTGCTTGTTGTCTCAGCTGTCCAGAATGCTGAGGAAAGAGAATCACAAGTTTGAAGCCAGACTGACCAACTTAGTGAAACTCTGTCTTAGAATTTAGGAAAAAAACCCAAAAGATAAGAATTGTGGGGTGTATATCTACTCAGCAGGTAAGCAGTAGAGTACCCTTGATTCAATCCTTTGAATGAGAGAGAGAGTGAGATCTGAAAAAGAGAAAAATAATTGTTCTCGTAGGTACATAAACAGTCCAGTTGGTTTCCAACATTTGTGGGATTGAGGCAAGGTAAGGAGTAGAAAGTGGGAGCTGCAAGGGAAATATGCTTATCCAACACAAACCAACAGCATAAATAAATTTAGTGAATATTTACTTTGATCCCATAGGCCCAGTTGGTGAGAGAATTCTTCGTTTCCTTTCCTCCAAGTTAGATAGTGTATTGGTATCCTTGACTCTGATCTTGATGAAAAGTGCATGAATTGAATTTTGGAAATATAGATATACCTATGAAAGGTCTTGGTATTAAACTAAGAGAAGCCAAAAAGCAAAGCTATTCAAATGATCTCGTCAGTATCCTCTGAGTGCCAATCTAAGAAAAGTACCTACATGTTGATCAACTTTTCTAGTGCAATATAGTAGATATTGCACTGGTCTTCTTTGACTCCTCCTCATCTTCCTATTCTTCATTGGAGACGGAGATGAACTGGGCAAGGGTGAGTCTGAGGACCCCTAGACTCATACTTACGAATGAGAAGCCACTTACAAATGCGAACACATATAAATTACTGCAAATTTCTCAGCAGAAAGTCTAAAGGCCAGGAAGACATTTTATGTAATGTTTCAAGCACAGGAAAAAAAAACTATACACAGCTAACTTATCCTTCAGAATTGAAGGAAAATTAAAGACCTTCCAAACTAAGGATTTACAAGAATTCATGACTACTAAGCAAGCACTTCAAAAGATATTTTAAGCACCACTGCACAGACAAGTGGACTAAGAAATAAGTATTAAAAGTGAATAAAATATCATAAAAATGAGAAAATGACAGGTATTTGTACATACTTTAAAAATGAATGTAAATTGTCTTCATTCTTCAATTAAAAGAAACATATTGATAGATTGAATAATAAATAAGATTTAACTGTATTTTCCTGGAAGAAGCACACATTACCTGCAAAGATGTACATAGCCTGAAAGTAGAGAGTGGAAGATGATATTCCATGCAAATGGAATCTGGAAGCAAGCAGGGCCAACACAATTATACTGAACAAGGCAGATATCAAGTCAAAAGTAGTCAGATGGGACAAAGAAATTTCTTACATATCAGCAAAAGGACCAATTCACCAAGAAAATATAGCAATAGCAAATATATATGCCTCCAATATTAGTGCAAAGAAATTTCATAAAACAAATTTAAAGGAGCAGGTAAATACCAATACAATAATAGTCTGTTACTTAAATATCCTGCTTTTACAAATACATGAAGTATCCATTTGTAAAAGTAAGATACAAAAGAAAATTAACAGTGAAATATCAAGACTTAACCTACACAATAGATGAAACAAACTTAACTTACATCTACTGAAGATGTCATTAACAGCAATAGAATACATGTACATTTCAGCAGCTCCCTGAATTTCTCTAAAATAGACTGCACTTTAAACAGAACTGATATTCATCCTATGCAGTCACAGTGGGGTGAAGCTGCTGATAAACTACAAGAGAAGCCACAGAAACTTCACAAACACATTCAGATGGAATAATAGACTTTTAAGTTACCAGTGGTTCATTGAGAAAATCAGTGGGAAATTGAAACAATCCTAGAATGAAATGCTATAGCATACTGGAATCTGGGAGGCAGAAAAGGCCACTCTAAGAGCACAGTTTATAGCTATATATCCTTATATTTAAATACATAACCAAGTGATTCATCTCAAAATCTTAGAAAAACAAGAATAAACCAAACCTTAAAGTGATGGAAAGAAAGAGATAATTGAGATCAGAGGTTAAAGTAATAACACGGAGACTAAAAGAACAATACAAAGGATCAAAAAGTAGATTTTTTTTGAAAAGACAAACAATATTGTTAAGGTCTCATCCAAACTAAGAAAGAGAGAGTTTTAGGGCTGATAAATTTAGCAAAGTGACAGGATACAAAATTCATATGCAAAAGCAATAGCTTTTCTCTATACGAGTAATTATCTTGGTTAGAAAGAAACCAAGAAAACAGTTCCATTAAAAACAGCTTAGGAATAAACCTAACAAGGAAGTGCTAGATCTCTATGATGATACTTATAAAACATTAAAGAAAGAAACTGAGGACAGTGCTAGATGGAAAGACTTTCCATGATGGATTGGTAGAATTAATATTGCTAGAATGACTACATTACTGAAAGTGGATACACACATTCAATAAAATATTCATCAATATACTGAGGACATGCTTCATAGAAGAAAAAAGTACTAAAATTGTCATGGAGGCATGAAAGACAGAACAGCCAAGGGAATCCTGACCACAAGAAACACTGATGGATTTATCACAATTCCTGATTTGAAAAGATACTACAAAGCCATAGTAATAAAAATGGCATCATACGGACACAAAATGGCCATGTGGACAAGTTGAATGGAACAGAGGCCACAGGCAAACAGAAACATGAGACATACTGTCATCTGGTTCTTTACAAAAGAGACAAAAGCATTATAGAGAGGACCCCCTGTTTTATAAATGGGGTTCGGAAAACTCAGTATTCATATATAGAATGTTAAAACTAGACCTGCATCTCTCACCCTGTGTAAAAATCAATTCAAAAATAAATCAGAAACCAACATATAATGAAGCTTTGACACATTCAGTAGTAGGCAGGCTACCCAGAGTCTCTGGATGGGCTGAATTCTGAAGGATTCCCCTAGAAAATGCCAGTCTGTGACAACTAGAAGGAATACAGAGCTCTTCACACATGCAGCAAGGCACAACCACAGATGTCAAGAACAACCGGGGAAACAACATCATGAATAAAGCAAACCGAAGTGCCTGTGAGTAACCGTAAGGAGGTGAAGATGTATGGACAGTGTAACAAAGAGTTCAATATTACTGTTGTAAGGAAGCCAGCACATTTCAACAAAATATAGAAAGTCAGTTTGCCAAAATGACACAAACAATAAATCACCAGAAGAGGACATTTAACAGAGAAATTAAAATAATACCATAAGTGAAGTAAAAATGCCAAAGAGCATCAACAGCAGAGAAAAGTATCTGTGAACCTGAAGAGGAGTTGTTGGCATAAGAAAAATGTCAAATAATAAAAAAAGCTTATGGAATTTATGGAACAGCTTTAAAGTAGCAAATATTCAAGTCATAGAATTTCAGTAAGATGGAGAGAAAGATAAAGAAGTGTCAAATTTAAAGAAATTATAGCATAAACCTTCCAAACTTAGAGAAAGTTATAAATATCCAGATACAGAAAGGTCAAAAGCCTCTAATCAGGTGCAGTTTAGACAAGATTCCTCAGGACCTATTATACTTTTTATATTTGTCAATGTTCAGAGGCAATGGCAGTGTCATGAACACAGAGAGAGGTAATCGCATAGAAGGAAATTTCAGTATGGCTACCAGCACACTTTCCATCAGAATCCTTAGAGGCCAGCGTGAGAGTGTATATTAAAAGAGTTAAGGAAAATAACTGGTGACCAAGAATGTTATAACTAGCAAAGTGTTCTTCAAAAATAAGAAAATAAAGAGAATCCCCAACAACCAACACCTAAAGGATTTCATCATCAGACCTGTCTTATAAAAACTGCTCAATGGAGTTCTTCAAATCAAAAGAAAGCATGCTAGTGAGTAACACAACATGTGAAAGTAGAAAAGTCACTGGTAAAAGAAAGTGCATATTCAAATTAAAATACTCTAATACTGTAATAGTGACAAAATTATGTATTTATTATGAAGCATAAATGACAATGCTATTAAAATATCAGCCACATAATTTTCTACTGATATCAATATAAAATGGCCTAAACTGTATCATCAAAAGTCAAAATGGATAAAACAGAGTTGATATGCAGTTTTGAGTATGTATGTGATCCAAGTGTTTTAAGCTTAAAACAATCTATTACATCTTAAAGAAATTTTTGTTAGGATCATGGTATCCATACAGTAAACACCGATGACAAATACAATAGAAATTTATTGATCAGGTTGCTGAAGAACAGTTAATAATGTTGTCTGTATGGTGAGTCAGATAATCTGGCATGGACGAATCAGAGGATTGATGCAAGAGAGGGCATCCGGATCATCTCAAAATGACAGAATGGTGCGGATACTAAAACAGAGAATAAAAGACATTATTTTAACATTTAAAGTGTTCCCAGTCTTTCATGCAAGTGCAGGAAACACTTGCTGTATCTCACTGAAAATTATCTGTGTGCCCATCCACTCCATTCCTATCTCCGTGGATTCAAGCCAAGTCAGTATAAGGGCAATTTTTACTTTTCTGGCTCTCTTTCCATCTCTTTTCAATCTTGGTGTTCCTTCCTTCCAATCTTAAACTCATTCATGACCTGATGTGACTGCGATTTAGACTTCAATTCTACATTATCATCCTTTGAAATTCGTTTTAAGATCCTGCATGCCTAGCCTGGACAGCAATGGGCAGTGACACATAACGTGTTGCTATTTGTCACATTCTTTGTAGATGCTTCTTAAGTATTAACTCTTTTAAAAGTCAAACTAAACAATAAAATTATGAGAGAGGATCTCATATTATTTCCATGCTAAGGAATATAAAAAGTGAGACTTCAGAGATTTGGAACTTATTCTTGGTCATACAACTAGAATGTGTGGATGCTAGGATCAAAACGCAAATAAAAATTTGCTCAACTTATAAGACAACAGAAAACTTGCCTGAAGAAAATGATGGTTTAATAAAGTTGACATCATGTTAAAGGCTTAGTAAAACTTTGCGATGGAGATGTTTAAGGACTTGCAGAATTAAAAATAAAATTGATTTGTATAATTCTAAGAAACTTCATCTTTCAGGTAAATTAGAATTTGACGCTTATACAGGAAATAATTCCTTTTCTATGAAGCACCTCCTGATGGATAATATTCTTCAAAATAGATGATAAAGATATGATCTCTCTCTCTCTCTCTCTCTCTCTCTATATATATATATATATATATATCGATGATATATGTGTGTGTGCTTAGACATATAAAAATACATACAGATAATTAAAAATACAAGACAGTGTGAAGATGAAAATAAAAATAACCTATTATTCCACAATTTCAAGATGACCATTGTTCTATTATTATTTTCTTGAATTTTTATCAATGCTTTCCTAGACATATACGTATTCTATACTGTTCTTATTGAAATTTGTGATTATATTTTGTATAAAGTTGTTTTTTTATGTGTTAAAAATAATACTGTGAGAATTTCCCATGCAATAAAATCATTTTTAAATGTCATCATTAATTTCTAATATGTGGTTGGAATTTAAGTGTTCCATTAACGTCGGATATTTTAGGATATTTCCAATTTTGATATCATAAATATCATTTAAACATACAGATAGTTCTGTAGTTATTTGCATGTAATAGTTTTTTATTATGAAATTATTTGGACAAAAAATCTAGGATTTTTTAATAAAAATTAGAAATTGTTTTCCCCAAAAGCTACAAATTTAAACATGGTATGAAAGTGCCCAGGTCATCATATCTTTACCAATTCTATGTAGTATAACTTTTAGCTGATGCTAATCCATAGGGTTTATTTTATTTAAATGTGCATATTTGAATGTAAGGGATTCTCATAAAGAAGATGTGGGAATTTTAATGAATCATTTGCTGCTCAGCGCATCTCTGTGAGTTTTCTATGTATTTCCCTCATTCTTTTCATCCTGAAGATGATGATAACAACAACTAGCATTTGATGACTAGTATGCATAGCTCTACAACCAACAAAAGGCTTCATGGTTTCATGGAAAGTAAGTGGACTCTGTCAGCAAGCAAAACTGCAGTAACTTTGAATCCTGTCTCCTCTGACTACTACTGGCATGAGTCTATCGAAGTCTTGTTCTCACAGCGACTCAGTTTCCCCAAAGGTGGTGCAGTGGAGGCCAGTACACCATCACTGTTCGGGGATCACAGGAGGTGAGACCATGGGAAGAGCAGCCGATGCCGCATTGAATTCCCTCAGCAGTGTGCGTCAGAGGAATATCTGATACGATGTTTTATGTAAGGGCACTGAAGTCTTATTCATATTTGTAAACCCATGAGAAGGGTGGGCAGCAGAAATGCCTGTAGAAAGGAGCTGAACGGAGGAGGTTGTATGTAGTTATTACTACCTATATGCATGTAAATGCAGGTGCCAAATTCATTTGATTAGGAGGTTGTAAGTGTGAAATGTCCAAAGTAGAACGTGCGGGCTTTTTTCTCTAATCTTCGGAGCAAGTGGGAGACTTAAGCATTTAAAATAGCACTTTGAACCATATCTTTAGCATAGCGATCTTTGTGAAAATTTCTTAGCAAACTCCAAAGAGAAAAATAAGTGTAGTCTTAAGAGGAAATGTTATTAGTATCTGTATAGAAAACAATCAATGGAGTTCTCCCTGCTCTTACAGTGAAAGTTCAGGGATGTCCTGAACGTAAGCCCCTGACTTACGAAAGACTTTCTTTCCAGAAGAGCGTTCGTAAGTCAGATTCATTTGTAAGTGTGACAAAGAGACTCTTGCACACCTTTGACACAAATATACGAGGTAAAGCACAAAATCACAAATACACTGTATCCCTGCCTGTGCTGTACTACTGTACTCTCTTGCACTGTGCAGTAAGCACACAGCAGCACCACTGTGACAATGTCCAGCAGACATGTGAGCTACCTCTACAACTGCTTTGCATCTACCGGTGTTTATAATGCAAGGCCCGTTAGTATTTGTGAAAGTTCACAACTCGAATGTTTGTGTGTCGGGCACTTATTCTATAAGAATTACAGCCATGTGTGGTCAGCATTCAGTGGTCACTTAGAGGCCTCACTGACCCCACGATTTAATTATGATTTGGTGACTGACGATTTCTCGGGAAAAAGTGAGTGTGCTCTCATGCAAAGCTGGGTGGCTCTAGTTACTCAGACTGCCCTAAAGCAACATGATTCAGCTTTAGCAGCACAGGAAATGCTAAGCAACTGTAATTGACTTTCCACAGTGTGACTGATTTTAAATGTTCTTCAGGTTTCACTCACCCCTCTCTCTTTCATTCTCTGTTAGCCAGTTCCCTACTACAAACAGAAACTGAAAATCTACCTCTTTCCGGAGTGAAGCAGGTCAAATCCTTCATTTATCTTTTCAAAAGGCAAAATATTGGTTATTAATGGATCCAGTGGAAATTTCTTTGCCATAAAATCGGCCACCAGTTTGGGGACAGAATCTTTACTCTTAAAACCTGAAAGAATGATATCATTGTTAGGTTCAACAGGGATAAGCAGGAGAACCGGAGAGGAAACATAGACATGAAATGAAAGGTTACGAAACGTGCTACTCTCTGCAAATGCTAGTGGGGAAGACAGTGTGAGAAGGAGGCTTCCACACTATCATGCAGTGCTTGGCCTGTGCTTTAATGTCCCAAATAAACTGGGGCCCATGACTAGCTGGAGAGTCCTTATCAGCTCTTTCATAGGGAAATCATATGACTGCCCAAAGTCAAGGTGCAAGTTTACAGTTGTCTCCGAGTGAATGAAGAGTGTAGACGCTGATTATCACTGCATTTCCTGTGTGTGTCCTGCTAGGAAATTTGGTGCCTCGTGCATTCACAAGCTCTTTTTAAAGAGCTGGTACTGAAAGTCCCTACTTACTTAGCTGGGATGCCAGAGAAGTCTGTCCTGGGACTTTCTCTCTACATTTATTCTGTATCTAATGGTTTTGGATGCTATAACTACAATAGGAATTTTAATTGCTGATTTTTTTTTTACTACAGTGCTTTTCAAAACATGACCTTGTCACGTATAAAGGGAAGAAATTCTGAGGCTAATATAAATTTGGTCCTCACACTTTACTACCTACCACCAAAGAGGGCCCCTTTCCAGGTGCGTCCAGTCAACAGCAGCGTAGGATTCACTGAGATGGTTTGGGAACCAGGAGGGACTCCAACAATGACGCTCACACCAAATGACTCATTGCAGCAGAG